TCACACCCACCTTCTTACAGTTTCTCGATATAGTGCATCAGATACAGAAACAATTTCCTCTGGCCTTCGAATTCAACGAATATTATCTGAAATTCTTGGCTTATCATTCGGTGTCTTGCCGCTTCCGCACGTTTCTGCTAGATTGCGAATTTGACCGAGTTGAGTGCGGTATCACCGCCATCGAGGATAAAAGGGGTTCCCTGACGAGTCATCATAAAGGCGTGGATACCGGCAGCGACGACGACACAATTTATCCTGGCGGTAGACTAGCGGGAACTGGAAATACTGGCTGCAATCTCGGGCAGAGTATATTCGATTACGTGGAAAAGCAGCACGCGAGATGCCCACTCTTTTACAATTTCATGTATACGCCCAACACGGAGAATCCTGTTCTGCGACCGGTCTCGCATTTACCGAGCCTTGACATTTGGCAGTTCTACCTGGAAGAGGAGCTGGCACATGGTCCGGCGTACGATCTCGAAGTGTTGCAGCAGGATTCCCAGCAGGAGGAGGAGGCCGAGGCTGCGGATGGTGTGGTGAAGAGCAATCGTAAAGTGGTCACTCAGGGGTGAGCAAATCGATTTTAAATGCCACATTTTAGCATTCTATACGCAAAAAATGACACGTAATTCGTTTTTAGATATGACGGAGTTAGCGCAATGGTGCCTGATCAGTTCTCACATCTCTTGGAGGAGATTCACAAATTGGAGACCGAGTTGGGCCATCTACCGCAAAAGTGGAAAGTACTCTGGGATAAACTCGAATTGCCGAATACCGACTCGCTTGCCGTAAGTTACAATTATTACGGATATAGATATCATAGAAAAGCTCACGCGAATTTTAATTATTGAATTTCACATTTGGATTGCCTCTTTTTTCTCCAGCGACACGCGTCGTTCAGTACGGCACTAGTACGATACCACGGTCGATTGATTCACAAACGTTCCACCTTGGAATTGCTGTTACGTGGCAAACTCGCTGGTGGAAACACCACCGGGAACGAAGGTTCCGTGTACGCGCATCCGCACAGGTATCAATCGCGATCCATGTCTCTAAAATAATAAACTGAAATTAACCGAATGCAAATCATATTTTACATTTATCAAAGGTTCGAACGATTGGATTCCGCGACGCCGACTCACTGCGATGCATGCTCCGGCGTACTATGGGGTCCCGTGAAGGCTGGATTAAGATGTATCGATTGCGGCCACGTGTGTCATGACAAATGCGCGGATGCTGTGCCAAAGAATTGCACAAAGTATAAGGCTGTGACAGATAATCTCCAGACTCACACGCTCACGAGAAGCGGGGGCGACAACGGAAGCGTAAATTCAAGTATGCGCAAGTTTCATTAGATTAAATTAAGCACAGTTTTCGTCCGCATATAATCTTCACAGTTATAGATTGTTATCGTCTCTCTGAATTCTTTTCGTATTAATATCGAGTTTTTTTATATTTTGTTCGCAGGTGTAACAACGATACAAACCAGCTCTCAACAATATTATGAACAATTTTCGAGCAATGTGGCAGAAAATAGAACACACGAGGGCTATCTTTATAAACGGGGAGCTCTATTAAAGGGCTGGAAGCAAAGATGGTTTGTACTGGATTCTATAAAGCATCAATTGAGATATTATGACGCAGTGGAAGATTCACATTGTAAAGGATATATAGGTATGTAGCCGAATATGCAAATGGATGTGACAAAAGGAGGAAAAGTTTAAACGGGATATGTATTATACGAAATCAAATCGCACAAAATCATATTGCAGATTTGGCTGAGGTGGTGTCTGTTACTCCAGCTGCGCCGATGCCCGGACCACCAAAGAAAACGGATGATAAATCCTTCTTTGATGTAAGTACATATCCTTACTTTAATATAAAAAATACATGTGATCTAAATATACAAAAAAATAAATTGACTCTTCAAGTATAAGCAATTTCGGATAAAATAAATTACAAAATGCAAAGTTTTACACGCGTTACTGACTCTTGTATGTATTTCTTTTTAATTTTGCAAGCCGATTTATTTTCGACATTATATCCTTTAAATATAACTTATGTTATATTGCACGATGTATACAAACATGATAGAATCGTTTTCTTTACAGCTTCGTACGAACAGACGGACGTATAATTTTTGCGCCGCCGATGCAGCCACGGCGCAGGAATGGATCGAGAAGGTTCAAGCGTGCTTGCAGTAATGTCGCAGTGCGCTCGATTATACTCTAGTACTAATTAATAAAATTCTGGATGTGACTGACATAGAGGGTAAAAACACAGATTTTAATTTTGTTACATATACTTGTTACATAGTCTAATTTTTGTGTATATGCGTCATAGATTGCAGTAATCTTGCTTTAAGTATTTTAAAATGCAAACTCTCGTTGGACTGAAAAATAGTATCATAAATTTCAATGTGATACATCCATATCCTTGATATAGGATTAGTATATGAATATAATGTATATTTTTTGTAATTATGTCGCGTTAAAGTTTTTATTCATTCAGCTGGAAGATAAAAGATCGCTATATAATGCCTGAAATCTTTTTTTATTTTGTTTAATATATTTTCTAACATTTAAATTATAATAAAATATAAGCATTGATCTTACATATAATAAATTGTGTGCATGTCTATTCAAATATATATACAGAAAGTCTCAGGGTTATCATAGTTTCTGTGAGTTCCTTGAACAATCGGTCTATTTCCTCAATAAAAGAATTAAAAATTTATTAATAAAATAGTTGTTATATTAATGATTATATTACGACGAAGTAGGAAGAGAAAAAAGTTCGTCGTGAAAAAATTGTTCAGAATTTATGAATGAATCTTTGTCTGATACATACATATTTGACTTTCTCTTCATAAAATAAGACGTTTTTCTGGGATAATAACAGAGATAATGCAAATTGATGCATTTGACAAGATATGTCGTCACAATAATACAGTGAATATTTCTATTACTTATTGTTAGTTTGATTATATGTGATGAATAAATAAATTTGTTAGCCCATCGTGATCTGGCAAAATCATTACCGTAAAGCGGTATCATTTCTTCTTTTTATAAAATATAAAAATAAATATTATATCTCTTTATTCTTTTCTATGAAAGTACCAAAAATTTATATTAATAACAATTTAACATGATACATGAATTAAAGAATTGCAAGAATGTGCTGTGATAATTTCAAGGCATATGTACTATTGTATGCATTTAGCATTTTATGATGGTGCACGCAAAGTTTATAATGCACTATTTTTAGATAATATAAAATTATTATAAAATTTTTATTGATTATAAATACAACTACAATTAGAAATACGTCATTTGTTGATCAATTTCAATAATATTTTCGATAATTTCCTGAACGCGCGTTCCAATTTGTTTACCTATATCTGTTCTTTCATTGTTGCACAAGAGAAGATAATGCCAGATATAATATATATAATATATACATAATTATGATATATCATTTATAATATATTAATATATAAAATAATTAAAAA